AGAAATTAGGGGGGAGAGAAATTGAAGAGAAATTGAAATTAGAAGGGGGGATAGAAATTGAAATTAGGAGGGGGGAAGAGATATTAGGAGGGGGAAAGAGAAATTAGGGGGGGAGAGAAATTTGGAGGGGGGTGAGAAAGAGAAATTGGGAGGAGGAGAAGGAAATTGGAGCGGGAGGAGAGATTGACATTCATCACATACACACAATGCACCCCTTGCACACAGAAAAACACACAATGACACACATACACAAGCAATGCAACCGTTACACACAATGCATCCCTTACACACACAGAAACACACAATGCATTCATTACACACACTCAATGCACCCCTTACACACATTCAATGCATCCCATACATACACAGAAACACACCTTGCAGCCCTTACACATACAAACACAATTTCACACAATGCATTCCTTACACACATATCAGGACATCCCCTACACACTCCACCCCCTGTGAACAAACTCATTGGTGGAACATGAAGGTGGACCCTGGGACCCAGACCTTGAGCTGTGTAAAGGACCCCCAAAAATGGAGCTGCTTCCCGTTCTCCCAGAACATTGATTTTTGTGACCACAGTTACAAACCGCCTCCAGAGAGCCTGTTCTGCACCAGACCAGTGGAGCCAGACTGCAGCTAGAGCCCATCATCATCCTCATCTGGTTGTAAGTAGGCAATCTAGTATATTATTCGTGGCACTAAGCTCTAATTTACCTCACATTAAAGAAACACTATAGTCCCCAGAACCACTGCAGCTTAATGTAGTGGTTCTGGTGTCTATAGCCTGTCCCTGCAGGCCTTTTAATGTAAACACGGCGGCACTGCAGCACTGGCGTTAGATAACTTGGCAAATCATATGGGTGGGGCATTGTGATGTCACATGGGGGGGGGGGGGCAAACTTTACTTTTGCCTAGGGCGGCAAAAATCCTTACACCGGCCCTGGCTGGAGGGGGCTGTGTGAGCTGTGGCCGCACAGTGTCCCATGGTAGTTAGGGTGCCGTGCGGCCAGTACAGCTCACACAAGCAAACAGCTGATAAACTGGCCACACGGAGGAAATGTGTATGTGTGACTGTCTGCCTGTGACTGTATGTGACTGTATGTGACTGTCTGTCTGTAACTGAGTGTGTGACTGTCTGCCTGTAAATGTGTGTGTGGGGCTGCAGGGATTTTGTAGAAGGGGGCGGGGGTTTTGTATTGGGATAGGAGTCTTTATAAGGGGGGATAAGCAGGGGATTTGTGGAAGGGGGTTGCAGGGGTTTTGTAGACGAGGCAGTACAGGATTTGTAGAAGGGACAGGACAGAGGTTTTGTAGGAGGTGCAGGACAGGACAAGGGTTTTGTAGGAGGGGCTGACAGTGGTTTTGCAAAGTTTACAAATTGTAAAAAAAAAGAAAGAAAACCTTTAACATTTTTTACAGGTTTTTTTTTTTTTTTTTTGGGTGGGGGGGGGGGTGCCAAGCACAGGATCCGCCCCGGGTGCCAAATGCTCTAGGTACGCCCCTGGCCAGAGGTCAGGATTATCAAAGTGTAGCCGAAGTCAAGGGATGCCAGAGGTCAGGATTAATGTAGTCAGAAGCAGGGGTCAATATGGAGTTGAAGATCAAGAGGCTGGAATACAGGAACTAAACACACACAACATGGTCAAAGACTTGCTAAAGTTCACAGGGCGAGGCTGTGTTTATTTACCCTGCTGATGACTGATCAGCACAGCAATAGATGAAGTCCAGCCCCCAATGCTGCAGACAAGCCAGGATGAACAGGACTAGATATATTTCCAAGGACTAGGAACTGCTGTGGCTCAAAGGTAGATAACTGCTGTGGGCACTTCTGGGGTGACCACGTCTGGATGTCACAGTGAGAACCATGACATTCCATTAAAACAAATAAAATATAAAAAACTACAAAATATAATATTGAAATTGATAACACAACTATACCCAAAATATTTGGTATGCTTAAAAATAACATACATATACTGTATAGCAATGTTGATTTGGAGAACAGGTTAATGACACACATACCACCTATTATCATCCATACTGCACTATAAAAGTAGTCAAACAGACTGGTCAAATACTGATGATGGATCAGTTGTTTTTGTTGGTAAATAGTATCGCTCCCAAGATCATATCGATGACAAAGAATTTTAAGTGCGATTTTAACTCATGACATTTTGTGTTCCAGTTGTATTGAAGACACTCACACGATACTAAAAGCAGCAGGAAGCATATGGACCTCCAGTTATTTAACCCCTTAGTGACCAGACCGCTTTTCAGTTTTCTTACCATTAAGCACCAGGGCTGTTTTTACATTTCTGCGGTGTTTGTGTTTAGCTGTAATTTTCCTCTTACTTATTTACTGTACCCACACATATTATATGCGTTTTTTCTCGCCATTAAGAGGTCTTTCTGAGGATACCATTATTTTCATCATATCTTAAAAAATTATAGAATATGATGAAATTTTTTTTTTTAAACACACTTTTTTGAACTACCCCCCAAATCTGTTACACATCAGTAAAAAAGGGGGACAAAACATTTTTTAGATACATAAATGAGAAAAGAAAAGTAAAACAAGGATTAGTTAGATTAAAAACAAAAGAAGGGAGGTATGTAGAAGAGGATAAAGGTCCAGCTGACTGCCTCAATGAATATTTTTGTTCTGTATTTACAGATGAAAATGAAGGAAAGGGACCTCAGTTGAGAAAAAGGATAAATGAGTCATTTATTCCACGTGAGTTTACAGAGGAAGAGGTTCTATTTCAACTGTCAAAAGTAAAGACAAATAAGTCAATGGGACCTGATGGAATACACCCAAAGCTATTAAAATAGCTTAGTGGAGTACTATCAAAACCATTAACAGATTTATTTAACCAATCATTGCTAACAGGAGTAGTCCCAGAAGATTGAAAGTAAGCGAATGTTGTGCCCATTTACAAGAAAGGTAATAAGGAGGAGTTGGGCAACTATAGGCCAGTAAGCCTTACTTCAGTAGTGGGGAAAGTGATGGAAACCATGTTAAAGGATAGGATTGTTGAACATCTAAAACACATGGATTTCAAGATCAGAGACAACATGGGTTTACTTCAGGAGATCATGCCAAACTAATCTTATTGATTTTTTTGATTGGGTAACTAAAATTATAGATCAGGGTGGTGCAGTAGACATTGCTTACCTAGATTTCAGTAAGGCTTTTGACACTGTTGCACATAGAAGGCTTATCAATAAACTGCAATCTTAAAGTTTGGATTCCAATATTGTGGAATGGGTAAGGCAGTGACTGAGTGACAGGCAACAGAGAGTTGTAGTTAATGGAATATATTCGAAGCTTGGACTTGTCATCAGTGGGGTACCTTAGGTATCTGTACTTGGACCCATTCTCTTTAATATATGTATTAGTGATATTGCAGAAGGTCTTGATGGTAAGGTATGTCTTTTTGCTGATGATACTAAGATATGTAACAGGGTTGATGTTCCAGGAGGGATAAGCCAAATGGCAAATGATTTAGGTAAACTAGAAAAATGGTCAGAATTGTGGCAACTGACATTTAATGTGGACAAGTGCAAGATAATGCATCTTGGACGTAAAAACCCAAGGGCAGAGTACAGAATATTTGATAGAGTCCTAACCTCAACATATGAGGAAAGGGATTTAGGGGTGATTATTTCTGATGACTTAAAGGTAGGCAGACAATGTAATAGAGCAGCAGGAAA